CAAAATGAAAAAGAAATTATCTTAAAAGCTCTACACAGCGACGAAACAGCTGGACATTTAGGACAAAACATAACGATTGATGTTACAAATACTTCAGATGTTGAATGAATAGGAACGTAAGTTTACCATGACAAACTTGATAATATTTACAGAGGATTTCAGCTTTCCAATATGTTGAAGCTTCGTGGGAAGCTCAAACTTTGGACCCGGAAAGACAACATAGAAACCCTCAATCAAATCCTCAATTAACATCTGCCCATTAGTACCCGCAATCTGTAAAAAGGGAACATTGATTTTCTTAACCTGTTCATTGGTCAGGTTCCGATTCAACAGACCATTTAATATCGATTGATTAATACGTGCTGATCGACAACGGTCGCCAATTGCCTTTTGTGGTGTTGCATTTGACGCGAACTCCCATTCTCCAAGGTCTACTCCCGATTGTGACAAAAAGCGCACATCACACTTGCGACCATTTTTATAGTCCGTGTTTCTGCTCAATGGGCAGAATGACTCTCCCCTTATTTTAATATAACATAAGTAATTTGTGAGAATGGAATACAAAACAATCAAATCTCATTTATACCAACCATCTTTGTTTTACTACCAGACTCTTCCTCAGTCCTTCAACAATATATGAACATGCTTTTAGTATTATGTCAATCTCAGTGTGTGCAGAATCCAACATATCGCCGTCCTCACTTCTGTAAATACTATAAACATCAAAATTATCAGAATTGATCCACAAAAAATAAAGAATCATAGCAATTTATAGTAGAATAAAATACTAACAAATCTAAGTATACTTTACTAATCTTTCGCATGTAGCTGTTCGCCTCGGAGCTAGTAAATTTTCTAGCGCAAAATTCGTATGCTTCGTTTATTCTTTTTTCGAGAACCATCTGTATAAGAAAAACTAATCAACATGTATATTTGTGTGTACAAAACAAGCAAATTAAAACAATGCATGTACATTTTCGATAGTTGTGACAAAGGAAGTTTCTTCATCTTTCAGGCAGGGAACTTGTAATAAAGACATGTAATCCTTCATCATAAATCTTCTATCTTCGAGAGAAAACCATTGTTTCATATGAGCCGATAGATCGATTATTCGTGATAAACCATAGCGTAATACAGCTTTTTCTATAACTGATAATTTCTTTTTCTTTTTCGTTGCCTCCGCATTTTCAGATATTTTCTTAGCGAAAATATCGCCAACATTTAGATTCGAGGGCAAGATCCAGCTACTTTGATTGTTAAGAATGAAATCGAGAGTTTCTTCTGAGGAAGGGAAACCTTCTTCGTCATCGTTATCATCATTATACTCTTCAGTGGAATCATCATTATCCGACGGTAGCAGATTCAGGGGAGTCGCCTTCTCGATTTTTGCACCACCAGGCAATGTGTCCTCCTAAAAAATTGAATCGATTGCTTTCTGTCGTTTTTTTTTTGCGGACAATATTTAAGTTATATACCGACCCTTTTTCTTGTTGACTTCCTTTTTGGTGGTTTAGTTGTCTTTTCACTTGAGGACAAGATCGATGGATGATGCATTTGGTGTTCGGGAGTATGTGATAGTTCATAATCTACTTGGAGACATCGACGTTTGCTCGAACAATCTTCAAGATCCGTATCTTCCAAACATTTCGCAAATTTACTTCGCACAATTAGCCCTTGTTTTGTAATCTCATCGCGTAATGTCTGTTCTTGTTCGAATGTCGAGGAAACAACGTCGGTGATATGTTCTTCCTGAAAACAACAAAAATATATTAAGGATTATCTCGTCACGTGCATCTTCATAATATTTCATACCGTCAGAGCCATGCGTTCAGCTACTGCAGTAAATTTCCGTTTTTGTGACGAAGTATTGCTTTTCCAGAATTCTTTAACCAGCTGTGATTTCTTTTCGGTCTATTAAATGATGCGGTCATTAGTAATATCCAAAAGAAAAACAAAAACAGTATTCTGGAAAATTAACTAGAGTCAGGACGGAACCACCGCGAACCGTAGCTCATCACTACCCGATCTTAGTCAGGAAATGTGGGTGGTTGAACGCAGGTCGGACCCCATCCAAAGAACTATTGTCCCTTAGACCCATCCACTGACAACCAGAAAGAAAATTCATAGACAGGGTGGAACCACCACAAACCGTAGCTCATCACTACCCGATCTTAGTCAGGAAGTGTGGGTGGTTGAACGCAGGTCGGACCCCATCTAAAGGATTATTTTCCTTTAGACCCACCCACTGCCATACAAAAATTAAAAAAAAACTTAACTTGAAAAGTAACAAGCGCATTTCCAGCCTTTTTTATTGTAGCCTCGCTTGCCTCTTTCATATTCAGTATAGTTGAGAGGCCCCGAGTGTACAGGGAGTGTTCTCTATGCTTGTCTAACAGGAAATCAGCACATTTTTGGCGGTATAATAGATACTCCGGCAAAGACCATTCGTTCTTTAAAGTGAAATACTTGTCTATTTCAAGAGTAGAGGTAGCTAGTTCTGACATAGTTTAGTATAAATGGAAAACGAAATAGTACCCTAGCCATGGCAAAAAAAAAAAGTGCGGTGCACGTGACTCTGTGCGAACCGACCTTTCCGACCAGTCTCCGTAATCGAGTAATACTAAG